GCCCGTGCTGGGAATGGATTTTCCTATAGAATAATTTATAATCAAATATAGTATTAATGTATTTAATAATTAAAATATAATAATCTTCAAGCAATTTATTTGTTAAAAACATATTTTTATTGTGCAACGAGTCAGAAATATATACAGTATACATATATAATTATTCATTTTAGCAGTTGTCTATCCACTGGAGGATGAAAGCCTCTTCTGCAATTATAGTGGCAATCCAGGCTCACCTTGGTGGAAGGTTCTTACCAAATGATGTGGATTGGCTGACACCATTTTGTAATATGCTCAATTTATTGCTAGAAGGGTCTTTCACTTATACACATACTTCTGGGCAATAGATGACCAACTTTATCATCCTTTTGTGAACCTATGCAAGATTATTCCACAATACTTTTCAGAATCTGCTAAATAATGCAAAATTGGCATGATACCAGATTGTATTTTATAGCACAAATAAATATTTTTAGGACATTCACTTGGAATAGTTTCTCAGTTGTTATCATATAATTGGAATGTGACAGCTATGTCTGGAATAGGGATTCTTTCTACTTCACAGGCAGTGTACAGTGGTGGTGTATTGGGGTTTGGGGTTTTTTGGGGGGTAATTCTAAAAAAGACCAAGCCTTTGTAGAACATGGTTTAATAAGTACATTTTTGACTTGGCTTGCACTGAATTCTGAAAATCGTTACTGCTGTAACTTTCAGCATCTGAATTTATGTTGTTGCAGCGAATGGATGAAAACATGCAAATAGCAAACAGACTCTGACAACAGTAGTTGAGAAAAAAGGCTTATAAAAATAAGGTTCGTACTTCAGACTGCTGGCTTCCCAAAAGCAAATTTTGTCTGCATACCCTGTGTTCTGATTTAATATGTAATACAATTACTATTGTTAAGTATAATTAGTTCCCTTAGCATTAATTGCACCTGCAATTAAATGAGCAATAACTCTGATTTCTATAGAAAAGTAGCATTCACATTAACCCAGTAGTGCAAAGACAAAGTTCCTTGATCCAAGTTATATTTACAAGTCACCAATTGCATACAGAGAGTTTGCTGAGGTATTTAACACTTCTAAAAATATATAAAATGCAGTCTTCTCTTTGTTAGGGTAACAATATTTTTTTTAGAAAAAATGATTAAAATAACTTTTTTTTAAAAAAAATGCAGTTTGCTATAATAAAGCATTTCTTTAACAAAAGATTGTGCAGTATCACCTGATTGAAACTATTTATTAATAATTTTGTGGGAAATAAAAAAATCCTCTGTCTCTCTCATACATACATACACACACACACACACACACACAGTCGCTATCTAATAACCTACCTACCCTTTTGTTACATATATAAATAGGTAACATAGCTATTACAGCATAACTACTTTCTAATCAAGCAACTTCAAATGCCAAGAGTACTAAATAGTGCAAAAAAATAGTGCAGAACATTTCATTCCTGAGCCTCAAAAATAAAATAAGCTAAATTCAAACTAACACAGTTTCTTTTTCTTTTATGTTGGGGTTTGTCCTTTCATTATGACTCTGATATCAAGCCTTCTTATAAAAATCATTATTTCCGCAGGAAGCAAACAGATGCCACACGATTTGAAATCTTAGCTGAAATTAACTGAAGCACGTAAGCAAGCAGAATGGCTCAACACAGATCCTGAGTGAATTTTCTTCCCTTCAATGTTATCATGAATCTAAAGAAAATCTTTATAAACCAAGGCGTTACAACCATGTATGGTGTATATTTGTGCTTCAAATGTCCATATTACTTAAAATCAAAACATATTTTTTGTCAAAAAGATTTTCATTGTGAAGAATATGGAGGACTCCATAATCTGTTTGGAGAACTGTTTTGTTGACTTGAAGATATAGGGCTGAAGGGAGTTGTAGGAGTGACAGGAACTCCGGTATCTGTAAATAAGCAGAATGATAAGTATGTATCAAAAATGCTCTATGTAACTCTCTGTGAGATCTGGTTCAGAACAATTAAAAAGGTAAATATATAGAAAAGCCATGTCATTACAGTCCATGGATGAACACCCACCAAACTTTACACTAAACTACAGATGTGGAAGGCCTGACCCAGAGCATGTTTAGTATCTGAACTGGAACAATTTAATGACTTTGGGCTAAGAATTATCCTCCACAAGGTGACCTTTGCACCCAAAGATCTGTTTGCAGCGAACAGCATTTATTAAGGACCAAAGGCTTATCTGGATTGGAAGATCCACAGCTTTTACCCTTCCCAAAGTGAAGCAAAAAGATAGAGCTAGCCGTTCGAATGTGGTATTGATATTATCTGTTTAGCCTTCAGGTAACTAGAAGCAAGCAGTTGCTAAGAAAGTATGGCAAAGTGGGAGCCGTAGCTCTTGGCATACATGCATCTCTGTTGATATTTTGATATTATTCTCTCTTATTTCAGCATCCCACCAGAGATACATATGAGACCCACTGTCCTGAGCATCCACAAAGCCCTTAAAAGGTGGGTCTATTCCCAGGCCTCTGGCTGGAGTATTGGTAGAACTCCTGTTGCGTTTTCTAATTATATGGCTGCTTTTTAATCTGGAGAAGTATGTTTTGTTATTATAATAATAACTTAATAACAATATAACAAAATCAATTTAAATAACAACAATAATAAGGAGTACATCTCTTTTTGAACCCATTATATGCTTACCATCTTCACATGAAATCTCTATCATTTACAAGTAGAGGGGATTTAGGTCCCCATTTGGTTCTCATTTGTTTTTCTCTTTTCCTTATACCAATTTAATGTCACCATCAACTCGGGTTAGAGCTGTATATGATGATAATGCAGTTTCTTAAATTTAATTATCGTGTAAAGTACAATTATAGCATTTAGCTCCAACTTTAGATGCAATATTATTAATTACCATGATCCTTAAGCACAAAGTTTAATGAATATCATGCTTACGTGGTCTTTGAGGACTTGTCTTTGAGATGAAAGCTGGATGTATTTGCTGTTCATTCGGAGAGAAAAGAGTATAGTGCACTAAAAATACAATGGAACAAATATATAAGCTTGTTTCTATTTAAATTACTGCTAATTCTTTTTTTTAAAAAAAATCTGAAAGTAAATACTTCAAATTTCAGTGGATACTCTTACCTATGATCATAACAGCCATTCCAGCCAAAAGCGCAAATGCTGTAAAAAATATAACTTGATAGGAATCAAGAAAGTGTTGGAATAAACTTGTATTATCTGAATAAAAAAGAGAAAATGTTGATTTTAGTCTTTAATTTGTATTCTAGGTGCACTTTTTTTGCTTTATTACTTTTTCCCATACATTTTTATCTAATCTGATTTAATCCAATCCAATCCAATCTATGAACATTCAAACAATGTTCAGAATTTGCTAATGAAAACTCAGTGCTATGAAAAACAATTGAAACTTTATGAATTCTGAAATAGTGGACCAACATGTTGTAAAATCATTCTGCAGTAATATTAAAATTACAAATGTTAGCAAGTGGGTGTAGCATAGTGGTTAAAGTGCTGGAGAGACTGGCGATCAGTTCACTTTCAGCCATGTTAGCTCACTGCCTGAGTTTGAATTAGTTACTCTTTCTTAATCTACAGTACATTGTCTCACTGGATTTTTGTTGTAGGGAAGATCTGGAGAAGAGAGTACGGCCTTGAGCCTCTTAGCGCAAAGTGGAATATAACAAATAAATGAAACATATAACTTTATAGATAAAATAATCCGATTCTAAAAAAACAATCTCAGAATACATCAATATTTTAGAGGAATAGGAACTTACATTTCATTGACAGAGTTCTGTCAGACACATAGGTAATTGTCACTGGGATAGTGATAGATTGGTCCGTCATTGTGCTGGATATAGTAAGTACAGTATTTAAATTTGTTTTACTTGCAATTTCTGGGTCTGATAAACTCACAGTGTAGGTTACATAACTAGGTAAGCCATAGGATCTGTCTTTCTCAAAAACCACCACCACAGGTGAGCTGGATCTCACCTGTAAGATAAATATTTGGTATCATTTACCAAAAGCATACTTTCCCCCTCAATTCATAAATGACACACTATTTCAAAGAACTGAATCAAATATCTCATTTAATTTCTGATTTATTTGCAAATTGCACAATTTGTCTCAAATATGATCATTTTAAATGGAGTTTTTCATTTTGGTTTCATGCCATTTTTTCCTTTAATAAAAGTTCATTTTTAAATATTAATTGATCATTTACCTGGGATAGATAAACTGCAAGTGACAGTTAACTAATTACACATATAAAATTGAACTGTGTCTTTTATTTTCAAAGCTTTTAAACAGAACTAAGAGTAAATCTGTTAGATGGTCTAGAACAGGACTTTTCAACCAGGGGTACGGGTACCACCTGTGGTACATTGGCACCTGGCAGGTGGTAAGCGACCATCCTAGAAAAGTGGTAGTGGGGGAGGGGAATGAGCTGAACCGGTGGCAGCACCGCACAAGCCTGAGCAAGAGATGGCTGGAGCTGCAGGGGTGTCAGGGCTCAGCGGAAGCGCCAGGATCAGTGCCACTTTCAAGCTGATCGGCGCTTCTTCAGGGCTGTCAGGGTTCAGTGGAAGCGCCAGGATCAGTGCCAGGCTCCAGCTGGAGCTCAGCACTGATCCTGGCACTTCTGCTGAACCCTGAAGAAGCACCAATCAGCTGGAAAGCAGCACTGATCCTGGCACTTCTGCTGAGCCCAGAAGAAGCACCAATCAGCTGGAATGTTGCAGCATCTCCAGGGTCTTGTGATTTACATTCAGATGTTTGGCAACTGATTCATATTTATGACGGTCACAGTGTCCCGGGGTCATGTGAAGTGACCAAAACCTGCTGCAACCACCCAGCAGACGGGGGGAATAAAAACCAAATACCCCCCCACCCCACCCCCACTGCCAATCCTCAACAGAAATGCTCACAACAATGAAAACCTCGGAGAGGAGGAAGAGCGCAGCTGGGCGGGCAGGCAGGCAGGTGTCTTGCTCGGCTGTGGCTTGGGGGGGCATTTTTTTCAGTGCCATTATAACTTCAAACAGTCACTAAGTGAACTGTTGTAAGTCGAGGACTACCTGTACTTTTATCACTTTTTTTCCTTTTTTTTTTTTTTTTTGGTCATCAAGTTTTTGACACCTTGCTAGGCGACTGGTGTTGCCATATCCTAAAAGTGGTACAATGGGTGAAAAGGTTGAAAAGTCCTGGTCTAGAACAGGCATGTCAAACTGCTGGCCTGCAGGCCAGATGCGTCACGCCGAAAACGTGCCCACCCCATTGCCGGCAATGGGGAAAAAGTCACGATACATCGCGTGATGTCATGAGTTTGACATGCCTGGCCTAGAATCATCAAATCACATGAAATTAAAAGAGAAGTCAGATGCTTTTTTATTAATATAGAAAATGTATATCGGCAATCATCTTACATTTGAACTCTGGATGGTTAACAACAATCAAC